AGAAGATAAATAAAATTGACAAACCCCTAGCCAAACTTACAAAGAAAAGAAGGGAGAAAGCTCAAATAAACAAAAGTAGAAATGAAAGAGGAGAAATAACAACAGACTCTGCAGAAATACAACGGATTATAAGAGAATACTATGAAAAACTATGTGCCAACAGAATGAATAACCTAGAGGAAATGGATAAATTCTTGGACGCCTACAATCTCCCAAAGCTCACTCAAGAAGAAGCAGACAATTTGTACAGACCAATCACAAGGAAGAGATTGAAACAGCAATCAAAAACATCCCAAAGAATAAAACCCCAGGACCAGATGGCTTTCCTGGGGAATTCTACCAAACTTTCAGAGAGGATTTAATGCCTATCCTTTTCAAGCTATTCCAAAAAATTAGGGAGGATGGAACACTTCCTAACACATTCTATGAGGCCAACATCACGCTGATACCAAAGTCTGAGAAGGACACCACGAAAAAAGAGAACTACAGGACAATATCACTGATGAACATAGATGCAAAAATTCTAAACAAAATTTTGGCAACCAGAATTCAGCAATTCATCAAAAGGATCATACATCATGATCAGGTGGGATTCATACCAGGGACACAGGGATGGTTCAACATCCGCAAATCAATAAACATGGTACACCACATCAACAAACTGAGGAATAAAAACCACATGATTATCTCAATAGATGCAGAGAAGGCATTTGACAAGATCCAACAGCCATTTATGATAAAAAACTCTGAACAAAATGGGCATAGAAGGGAACTACCTCAACATAATAAAGGCCATATATGACAAACCCACAGCAAACATCATACTCAATGGGCAAAAACTGAGCGCCATCCCCCTGAAAACAGGAATGAGACAATGATGCCCTCTATCACCACTCTTATTTAACATAGTACTGGAGGTCCTGGCCAGAGTAATCAGGCAAGAAAAAGGAATAAAATGAATCCAAATAGGGAGGGAAGAAGTGAAACTCTCGCTGTTTGCAGACGACATGATCTTATATATAGAAAACCCCAAAGAATCCATTGGAAGTAATCAACAACTACAGCAAGTTGCAGGGTATAAAATCAATTTGCATAAACCAGTAGCATTTCTATATTCTAATAATGATCTAACAGAAAAAGAACTCAAGAACACAATACCATTCACAATCACAACAAAAAGAATAAAATACCTCAGGGTAAATTTAACTAAGGAAGTGAAGGACCTATATAATGAAAATTACAAGGCCTTTCTGAGAGAATTGGATGACAACATAAGGAGATGGAAAGACATTCCATGTACATGGATTAGAAGAATAAACATAGTTAAACTGTCCATTCTACCTAAAGCAATCTACAGATTCAAAGCTATCCCAATCAGAATCCCAATGACATTCTTTACAGAATTAGAACAAAGAATCCTAAAATTCATACGGGGCAACAAAAGACCCCGAATTGCTAAAGCAATCCTGAGAAAAAAGAACAAAACGGGAGGCATCACAATCCCTGACTTCAAAACATACTACAAAGCTACAGTAATCAAAACAGCATGGTACTGGTACAAAAACAGGTGCACAGATCAATGGAACAGAATTGAAAGCCCAGAAATAAAACCACACATCTATGGACAGCTAATCTTTGACAAAGGAGCTGAGGGCATACAATGGAGAAAAGAAAGTCTTTTCAACAAATGGTGCTGGGAAAACTGGAAAGCCACATGTAAAAGAATGAAAATTGACCATTCTTTTTCACCATTCACCAAAATGAACTCAAAATGGATCAAAGACCTTAAGGTGAGACCTGAAACCATAAGGTTTCTAGAAGAAAACGTAGGCAGTACACTCTTTGACATCAGTATTAAAAGGATCTTTTTGGACACCATGTCTTCTCAGAGAAGGGAAACAATAGAAAGAATAAACAAATGGGACTTCATCAGACTAAAGAGCTTCTTCAAGGCAAATGAAAACAGGATTGAAACTAAAACACAACTCACTAACTGGGAAAAAATATTTGCAAGTCATATATCTGACAAAGGCTTAATATCCATAATATATAAAGAACTCTCACAACTCATCAACAAAAAAATCAAACAACCCGATCAAAAAATGGGCTGGAGACATGAACAGACATTTCTGCAAAGAAGATATACGGTGGCCAACAGGCACACGAAAAGATGCTCATCATCGCTGATCATCAGGGAAATGAAAATCAAAACTACACTAAGATATCACCTTACACCCGTTAGAATGACAAAAATATCTAAAACTAATAGTAACAAATGTTGGAGAGCTTGTGGAGAAAAAGGAACCCTCATACACTGCTGGTGGGAATGCAAACTGGTGCAGGCACTATGGAAAACAGTATGGAGATTCCTCAAAAGATTAAAAATAGAACTACCATAGGATCCAGCCATTCCACTACTGGGTATCTATCCAAAGGGCTTGAAGTCAGCAATTCCAAAAGTCCTATGTACCCCAATGTTCATTGCAGCATTATTTACAATAGCCAGGACATGGAAGCAACCTAAGTGCCCATCAACAGATGAATGGATAAAGAAGATATGGTACGTATATACAATGGAATACTACTCAGCTGCAAAACAGAACAAAATCATTCCATTTGCAATAACACGGATGGACCTTCAGAGAATTATGTTAAGTGAAATAAGCCGGCTAGAGAAGGATAATCTGTGTATGACTCCACTCATAAGGAATTTAAAACTATGGACCAAGAACAGATTAGTGGATACCAGGGGAAAGGTGGGGAGCGGGTGGGCACAAAGGGTGAAGTGGTGCACCTACAACATGAGTGACAAATACTAATGTACAACTGAAATTTCACAAGATTGTAACCTATCATTAACTCAATTAAAAAAAAAAAGAAAAAGAAACACTCTGAATAATCTATAGTGAGTAACCCTAAAATAATACTGATTGTGTTCTTTTGCTCTGGGTGTAATGCAGAATGGGTACAAAAGTGGTACAGGAAGTTATACTAATTAACAGAAAATTATAGTGACAGTGGAGAAGGCAAAGAACCCAGCTTACAATCATTTGTTCAGTAGATATCTATGAATAACCAACAGCCCTCGGGTGGGAAACACTTTGGTATGTTTGGGGAATATGAAGGGCAATTTGGCTTAGAGCAGTGAGAAATGGGAGAAGGGGACGGTAGGAGATAAGATCTGAAAGGTAGCCAGGGCCAGATCAAGAGGCAATAAGCAGTTTGGATTTTATTCTAAGCGCAGCGCCTAGACCCTGGCAGCTTTGGAGGAGAGGAGTAACACAACCTGCTTTAGTTTTCTAAAGCTCTGTGTGGCTGCTCCACGGAGAATGAAGTGGGGGAGGGCAGGAATGGAAGCAAGTTGACTGGTGGGGAGGCTGTTGCACTAGTTGAGATAAGAGTTAATGATAACATTGAAGGATGGCAGCAGGTGAGGCAGCAAAAGTGACCGGATTTAGGAAAAGTTTTGATATATATAAATTGCCAAGACTTGCTGATAGATTTATTGTAGGGGAGATAGAGAGAGAACTCAAAGATAACTCCTGGGCTTTTGGATTTAGTAACTGAGCGAAGACTGGAAGGAGCAGGCTCTGGAGGGGAGATTAAGGCTGCTGCTTTGGGCAGATGCCTACTGGACCCACAATGGAGGTGATGAGTAAGCTTTTGGATATAGGAGTCTGGGATTCAGGGGAGTCCAGGGCTGGATAGATACATTTGGTAGTCATTAGCAGAGAGATAGGGGACTAGATAAGGCCATGTGGAAGAGTGTTGATAGACGAGAAAATGGAGCCCTGGACTCAGTCTTGGGCACTCTAGTATGTAGAGGTTAAGAAGAGAAAGAGGAGCAAGCAAAGGTGACTGAGGAGAGGCTGCTGAAGAAGCAGGGAAATTAGGATGGTAGGTGTCATAAAAACATGTCAGTAAGGGGTAACTGTGTCAAACGCTGCTGGCAGGTTGAGAAGGATGAAGTTTGAGAGGTGACCACTGGGCAGGGCAAGATGGAGGTGCTGATTAATTGACTGAAGTGTGTTGAGTAGATAGCAGGAGGTGAGGAAGTTGAAAGAACTATTTCAACCAGTTTTTGCTATAAAGGGAAGAAGAGCAATGGGGCTGTGGGTAGAAACAGGGAGAATTCATCCATTCTAACAGGAGGGAAGGTAGAATTTAAAGGTATAGGTGGAAGTAGAGATGGCTTGATATTGAAAAGGAGTCTGTTATCTTCAGATTGCAAGAGAAAAATGGAAAACAAGTGTACTTTTTTCAAAAGCTTCCATCACCCTATTTGTTGCTTGGTGAAATGTTAAATCACAGAAGAGTGAAAACTGCAACAGGGCTTGCGAATACTCACCTGGTGCAAATTCATTTTTGTGTTTCACGTTCATAAACAACTTGTTTAAACCAGTCATTTTAGTCCTTAGGAAAGCCTTCTAGTCAATTCCGTGCAGAAAAATAAATAACATAAGAACATTTAAAATGTTTTAAATTGCTGTTCGAGTATCAACCTGAAACGTAATTATGCTTTGATTACTGTCTTCCGTCCTGCATGTCTCTCTATAGGTATAAAAAACACAATAGTGGAAAATTCAGTAATAGCAGGTGATTCTACAAATAGTTATTCTTCTGAGCTGTTATGTAGTCAGCATAAATACATAAACAAAACCCAGCTTGCTCTAGCCAGTGTCTTCAGATTGCAATATTCAGAATTTTAATGCTGTGTTTGCCTCTGCTTGGCTGAGTGACAGTGGGCCAGCAATTTAGCTATTCTGTGATCATTCAAATATATAAAATTGTTGACAAAGGACCAGTATTTTAAGAGCTCAGGATCCTTAATGAAGCAGTATTAATCCACAGATTTTTTTCCAATTTTTGTATTGTAGTAAAATACATACAACATAAAATTTACCATGTTAGCCACTTTTAAACGCACAGTTCAGTGGTATTAAGTACGTTCGTATTGTCTTCCAACCATCATCACCATCCATAACCAGAACTCTTTTCATAAAGATATGAAATGCTTCATGAATTTGTATGTCATTGTTGAGCAGGTGTTAGGGTAATTTTCTCTGTATTGTTCCAATTTTAGTATGTGTGATGCTGAAGTGAGCACTAATACACATTTTAAAGAAAACATTTATTTATAGAAAGAAGAAAAAATTACAGAAACTGTGACCCTGAAAGACAAGGAAGAACCATTTGATTATTACAATTGAAACAGAGGCTTAAGGGGCCAGCTCCGTGGTGTGATGGTTAAGTTCGGCACTATCTGCTTCTGTGGCCCACGTTCATGGGTTTAGACCCTAGGCAGGGACCTATGCCACTTATCAGCCATGCTATGGCAGTGACCCACATATAAAATGGAGGAAGATTGGCACAAATGTTAGCTCAGGGCTAATCTTCCTCAGCAAAAAACAAAAACAAAAGCAAAAACAAAACAAAACAGGTTTAGATCAGTTCTCTAATGCTCCATACCAGGATATTGAGGCATGGAGAATGATGTTCTTCCATAAAATACCTTTCCATTCTATACTCAGAGGCAGAATATAAGAACATCTTATCTGATCCAAAATGATTATTGCTATATTTTTTAAATTTTCTGTGAAACAACTGAAAAATGCTTCAAACCCAGACTAATTGTGTTCTTACCATATGCAAGGAACTGTGCTAAATCATGTACATGTATTGTCCAGCTTAATCTAAGAATGTGATGAGGTAATTCTCTTATTTTCATTTTAAAGATAATAAAACTTAAAAGTGAGACTTGAAAAGGTATAATTAACTAAGGTCTTGTAACCAGTAAACTGTGGGTGAAAGAGGCAGCCCTGGGTCGGCCCGACTCCACAGTCCTTGTTCTTAACCTCTGTGCTCACTTGAGTCTATTTTGAAGTGATAGCAGTCCACATCTGCCCTTAATTTTTTAAATTTATCGCCCTACACAGTCTCCCCAAACTCATCCTTCTCTTATTAGAGCATCATTTTTGCTTGTGTAAATATTAATATGCTGAACCATGAGGCTTACCTCATCAAGGTTTTCAGTTGGACTCACAACTATCTCTAAGTGTTTTACAAGCAAATATTTCCTCTATAGTTGCAATCAAGATTTATGGTTGGTGGGGATGGGGAAAAATTTCATCAGTGTTCTTTGGTGCAGTTTCCTGTATTCATGTTCACAATTTGCTGACTTCTGAAATGACGCCTTTGAAATTAGAACGTTTCTTGAAATAAAACTGCTGTGCCAGAAGACACTGTTCAAGGCTCAGTTTCTACTCTTATCTACAAATATTCCTGCCTCTACATTCTGACCCTAACACCTGTTATGTCCTCAGAGATACATCTATTTCCAGAATTTGCCCTAGTGGAGCTTTATTATCAGACGCTATCTAATTCAGGAAGCCCTTAATTATTTGTAAGTCATTGGTGAGGCTTCTGTTTGTTTTATTTAGACTTTATTTTGTGGGCTTTCCTCAGACAACGCTCCCACTGCTGTTGTTTATCAGGAACTCTCTGCTGTAGTTAGGTGGGAAGAACGTAGTTTTGGAAGACATCTGATGCTGGTTAGATTTCGGCTCTTGTAATTATTGCACATAATGCATGAGTATGGTCCACTTTGTTTTTAATTTCTAAGTTTACAGACAGTTGGAATTTTAGATTTACACACGAAGAAGTAGAGTTATGTGAGGTCGAGTGGCAATGTATTTTATGTTTGTTGGGGGGAGTGCCAGAGGGTATTGGCAAGTGGCTTTAATCTCAGCTCAACCAATCTGCTCAGGTAACAAAGAAGCTGGTTGAGTGACTTCTCCATGTTCCTCTCTTGCTCCCTTCCTTCCCACACTCCTTCCCTTCTCTTCCCTGAGCTTCTTCCCCAGCAGGCCAGACCAACCACAGACACTACCCCATGGATAAGGTTGGATCCACGAGGGCAGATGGGCAGAAGGAGAGAAGCAGAGAATGACCCTCCTCATCTCTTTCCTTTCACTCCCTCCTTACCACTGGATTCGGACACTACTGGCTAGTGTGTCTCAGCACTGAAGTCCAGATAATCTCATTGTCTGACACACCAGCTTGGCTTGTCTCTTCATTTACAATTTTGTAAATTCTGAGAGAACTGCTTTTCATCTATTTAAGAAAATGTGATATATACATACAATAGAATAGTATTTGGCCTTAAAAAAGAAGGAAATTTTGCAATATGCTGGAACGTGAATGAACCTTGAGGCTGTTATGCTAAGTGAAATAAGTCAGTCACAGAAACACAAATACTGCATCATTCCACGTATATGTGGTATCTAAAATAGTCAAATTCATAGAATTAAAGCATGGAATGGTGGTTTCCAGGGACTGGAGGGAGGAAGAAATGAGGAGTTACTAATCAATGGACATAAAAGTTCAATTAAGCAAGATGAACAGGTTCTAGAGACCTGCTGTCCAACATTGCGCCTCTAATCGACAGTATGGTATGGTACAATTAAAAATTTGTTAAGAGGCTGGAGGCTCGATCCATGTTAAGTGTTCTTGCCACAATAAAATAAAATTAAAACAAAAATAGGCTGCTCATTAAATCTGACTTTCCAGTGCAGAAAGCTAGATTATACTAGTTTGAGTTATACTCAAACTCCCAACAGGCATCTGCTCTCTCTTAATCTGGCTATTTTTCATAGTTAGAACTTAATTTAACTTTGCAGTGCCAAAGAGCTGAATTCTGTGGTTGGTGTGCTCTTTTCGATTATGTTACCCAGAAAAAAGATTTCTGCCGAAGTACCATAAACAACATATGCCTTAAAATCAGAGCTCTTGCTTAAATGAACAAATTTTTGAATTCTAAAGCTATGTAATATTTCCCATTATCGTTTGGGAAATGCAATCTTTGAAGGTTGATTCTCCTTTTTTTTTTTTTCTAACTTTCAATTATTTTCTGAAGTTTGTGCCAAAATAACTCTTGATAAAGCAGACAATATTTCTTCAACATGAACAAGTCTCAGTGTTTTCAGTTTCTAATTTTGTTGCCTCAATTTTAATTGTAATTTGTGTTTTCTGTGCCAGAATTGTTTTAAATGAACACAAAACTTTCCATTGTTCGGTGTCCTACCAAATGAGTACGCCTGAGCGGCACCCATTAAAAAGCCTTACAGGGGGTTCCCCTCAAACCACCCCCTGTCCCTTTTTTTTTACATGAGTGAACTAAGAAGAAGCAACTATTATTTGACCAATTTATTTAAATAAAAAATGAGTGACTATATGTCCCCTAGAAAGATGGCTGGGCATGTTTTTAAATTCTGAATGCTACAACTAAATTTAGCCAAAGTGCGTTGCTTTCTGAGTGCTTCCAAAATGGAACACTGTGCTTTTGATTGCCGCTTTTGGAGTCTCATTAAGACTCTAAAAGGTCAAAGGAACAAGGACTGGAGCAAAATACATTCATTTACAATACACACAGCACAGTCAAAATGTAGAAATCAGCCACATACATGATGTGTTTCTACCAGGATATTTGTGTAACGCAGAGTCCTCTTTCTGTGGGTAGCTGATGTGTCTAAATGCTTACATTTATCCTGCCAAATGTCGACAGTGTTGTTACTAGTGGAGAAATATTTTAGATTGCCAATTGTCTGCTTCATAAACTAATTTCTGAACAGAGGGTAATGTCAGAGTCAGATATTTTTGCCATAAAATGAAATCTCTATCCCCATGGGTTTAAACTTTCTTAAGAGATAGGCATTCTTCTTCCTAAGGTCTCCGCTCTACTACACGCTTTAAAGATTTTCAGGAGGTGAAGAGGGAACACAATGACTTTGGCCCTGGAAAGTTGCCCTTGAAGGATGACATCAGATTTTGACAAAGAATACATTCAGTGTACAAACTAACTTAAAACTCAGTTTTCCCAGAAGAGTCTGATCTAGCTTGCAATTCAGTTTTCTCAGGCACATTCCAGTAATCTGTTTCTGCTAGTAATAAGGAGACTGTTTTCCCGTGTGTGTGATGATATACTATAGAAGAATCAGTGGGAGCTTTCTGCTAATTAGAACTTAGACGTTAATATTTTCCTTCACTAACATATTAAGAGGATAGCATAATTTTAAACACCTTGCTACTTGATTTTACACACTCTATACTTACTTTTGTTTTCTTTGGCTCTTGAGTATCTCAAAAAATTGTAATAAAGTAACCTCAGAATTTACCTTTTCTTTTCTGTAATTGATTACTACTGTATTTAACATTCTTATATATCAAGACCTACCAGATGCCAAACTCTGGTCTTGGTGCTAAGAATTCAGCAGTCAATTAAACAGATAAAAATCTCTGCCTATATAGGCCTTCCGTTCTTGTATTTACCTCTATACTTAAGTTTGTCTTACCACCCCGAAACTCCAGCAAAAATTCCAAAATTTTTTCACCAATCTTATCATTTTAAAGGTTGAATAAATTTTTAGACATAATTATGAATTATTTTCAGTCTGAGGAGACAGTGTTCATGGTACTCTTTGGGGGTGAGAACTAAATCACTGTTATTGAACATTTTTATCAATGGACAAGATCGGTGCTGCTTAAAGGGTGTCTTACGGACCACCTAGGTCTGAAGCCCCCGCGGTGGTGATTACAGTCCCTGAGATGCACTTCACAGCTCTTGATTCAGAATACCAGGGTGAGGATCAGGAATCTGCATTTTTAGTTAGTAATCTAAGTGATCCTTACACATGCTGAAGTCTAAGAATTAATTACTAATTTATACAAATAGCTGAAGAAAGTGAATCTTAAATTAGAAAATGACCATAAGCAATTGGACAAAAAGTATGCATTTGGAGTTTAGAATTAACAGAAAACAATAAATTTAAATCTAATATTTCATTATTTTAGGACAAAATGGAAAAACATATTTGTAAAAATTGATGTCAAGGCAAAAAATTGATCATGGGGTTACATATTACTCAAAGCGTATGTCTGGAGTGGAATGTATAACGAGCACGAAGGTCGCAGATTTAAGGTGTTTCCCAACTGCCCGCTTAGACTCTTCTCTCCTGTGTCCCGCTATTACTGTATTCATTTTACAGATGAAAAACCTGAAGCACAGAAAGGGTAACTTTCCCAAAGTAATACAGGTAGTAAAAACTGGAA